GGAATGCCCACAAGATGATCACGCCCTCTGGAAACAACCACTGAGCTGATCATTCACCTGGGGCCTCTGCCCCTAACTTTGCCCTTGAAAACACACGTGGGGAATACCTCGGGGAGATCGGGTCTTCTGAATGCACTGCCTGCTTCCTTTGCTTTGCGCTTTGCAATAAAGCTGGACTTTCCTTCATCACACCATGTGCCTGTGTTTGGTTTGTAGAGCTTGGGCAGAAGAACCCGATGTGAGTTCTGTAATAAGCGTGAGACAGAACCCATGTCCTGCTGTATGCTGGGCCCGATCACCCCAGCACCCCTGCATTTCTGTGTCAGTCCTGCACACGAGGAAACTGAGGCACTAGTAGGGAGACGGCAGGGTCAGGACTCGGGCAGAGGCTGTGTCTGAACTGCCACTTCTGCAGGACAGAGGTGAACCTGTAGCACTGGAGCTGGTGGGGGCCGGGGGCTGTGGCCGGCACACTTCAGAAACAGTGGACTGCAGACAGCTCCTGGGGAGGAAGGGCCCCCACACTCAGGCAGCACACTCTCAGAACCCTGTAGCAAGCCTGTAAGTGTATTTAACACAGCATTTCTCAAGTTTCCTGGCTCTCAGAATCTGAAGAAAGGAACGATGGGGGCCTGCACAGGGACACTCAGGTGCTGAAGCCCCGTGGGAGAAGCCTGGGTCCGCATGTTGAAGTCTCCCTGGATGTGCTGGCACACGTGTGCTTGCCCTGGTCCTGGCCGGGGCTGGAGTGGGCTGTGGTGTGAAGACTGTGTTGGAGGTACCTTTCTCTCATGGAAGAAATAAATGAATAAACTTTATTAAAAAGGGACAAGGGGGGCCCAGCAGGTGGCGTAGTGATTAAAGTGCTGGACACCCCGTGGTAAACTGTGGTTCGAGTCCTGTATACACTGGTTTGAAACTTGCGCTGGGTGTGTGTGCATGTGTGCCCCAAATCCCAACAGAAGAACAGAACAGAAGGGACTGCAGCGTGGCCATCCTCCGTGGAGGGGAGGGAGATTTCTCATTTTCTTCTGTCTCTGTGTCTCTGGTGAGCATGTGCCCTATAGCAAAAATCTCTTTTAAAAAAAGGATAAAAAAGAAAAAAGAAAAAGAAAGAAAAGAAGAGAAAAGAGTGTTAGTAGCTCAGGAACAGTGTAGTAGCCTCAGTGGTTAAAATTAAATTCATTTCATTCAAAAACACTTCTTGTATGTAAATATGATGTTTCTTCCCTGAAAGAGCGTACCAGTATCCAAATCAGGTTCCATTGTCAGGTGGATTTCTTATGTGGTCAAACCCAGGTAACGTCCCAAGGTCACCTGTGGTGGAAAAGCCCTCCAGCCCAGCAACAACGGCCCACACAGGGCGTTTTATTAGGGGTGCCCCCACAGCCTCAAGAAGCCCTGCAGGGGGTTGTGATGAAAACTGTCACTGCAGCCATCAGGAAGTTCAGGCCTGTGGCTCAGGGCTCATAGCCAGCAGGGTACTAACGCCCCGACTGTCGCCACCATCACAGCCTTTCTGTGGCCTGCTCTGCAGCTTGATAAGGAAACACAGGGCCAGGCTGCTGCCCCCTCACTGTGCCCTCTGGTGGGTGGGGTGGCTGACGCCTCCTGCTCGCCCCCCAAACACACCCGTGACCCTGCTCTGCAGACACGCTCTTGGCCACCTGTGAAGGCAGTTCTGAGGACAGAGGTCCATGCGTGCTCGGGAAGGTCTGAGGGTCCCTGCCCAGACCCTGAGCTGGCACCACTGGGGGACTCGTCTGTCTGGGTCCTGACTCAGAGGCTGCAGCCCTCTACCAGAGGCTCCCTCTCCTCCTTTACCACCCCGGGCCCGACAGCCGCAGAGTGAGGGTGGGTCTTCTGCTCACAGCCCTGGGAAGAGAGATCAGAAAGTCTCAGTTTGTAAGCTTTGATTCGGGAACATACCGGTCACTGACAGGAGAACTAGGGGCCAGCCCATACCCAACAGTTGTGTGCCCAGCCTCAAAAGAGGGACCCTTCAGTCTGCAGGGACTTATTCCCCAAATCTTCAAGAGCTGTCTCCACCCATCTCCCCTTGCTCCAACATGGCATACAAACCAAAATATAAAGGTTATTCTTTGATGAAACTAAAACAAAAACAGAAATAAATAGGCATATACTTGCTTAACCATTATTTTGTAGTTTTAATGATATTTTAAAAAACTTTCTGCCCCAATTGTGACAAGGAAACAAGAGTCGCAAGGGCAGATCACAAACTGGAATAAACACACACACCCACTGGGGTCACATCAAGCCTTTCCTTGTATTTATTCAAAGAGTCCGATGCACATGTGTCAAGATACAAGCGCTGCCATTCGTGTTTTCTTAGAAGGGGGAAAGCACTTCTCCGGTAGCCCCTTCACAACCCCAGAAATGTCAGACACGAGTAGAAAGAGTTGTCCCCGACTTGGAGAGCGTGTGTTGGAGACGCCCCTGTGCTTAGTGAGCTGCCTGTTGGACTCACCAGCCCTGAGCCCCGGCCTGGGGAGAGTGAGGTCCCCGCAGGCCTTGCACAGCAGAGTTCTCGTCTCCCCAGCCCTCCTCGCTATGGTGTGGGCAGTGGGCGTTTCTGCAGTCTCTGCTGGTCACGTCCTCTATCCTGACGACCCTTCTTCTTGGTCACATGTGGCCCTGCCCCAGGGTTCGGTGATGGCACAGATGCCACCCGCCAGACAGCAGGTGCTGAGGGCTTGGCATTCGTGTTCACGAGACAGCCACACCGCGGGTGTGGCTGGAGGGAGCAGTTTTTGCATTTAACATGGTCCCCTGGGGAGTTAGTCCAAAGTCAGATACTTAGAAGTCTTTTTCAAAAGGATGGTCAAAAATGGTCAATTTGACAGTTGAGGAACTGTCTTCTGCCAATTAAAAACCCTTATTGCCCAACATTTCGATGGTCCATAAATCAATGAAATGTAACCACTCAGAATACATTTACACACACACACACACACACACACACACGAGAACTGTGACAAAAGGATTCACTAGATTAATCTGTGACTGTGTTTTAAAAGAAAACAAAATCTCGAACTTGAGGTGCGTAGTCAATACTAAAAAACACAAAAATAGCCTGCTTCCCGTTTGATTTTACGATCAGAAGTCACTGTCATTTTACCGGAGACTCTGGTGTCGTGAGGTTAACTCCTGGGGCACGAAATATTCTGGCTGGTGGCTACTTGTCATTTCTTTTAAAAATATAAGTTTTGCTAAAGTAAGAAATCTGTGGCGTTTCAAGAATCAGTATGCTATAAGGAGGAGTAATAGCAGTTGGCTCCTGTCTCCTGTCTGACACTGGTGAGGATCAGTCTTACACACGTGTGATGGACGCACAGCGCAGGCAGATGGAAACGACTCCTTTATGCTCTCTGAGAAGTGTGTCACATTAACATTTGATGTTTGGCCCCAGTCAGTGATAGACTAGAGGGGGACTGGTTTGGTTTGCTTTTTCAGTTTAACCATGTGGACATTTTAGAGATTTTGCTATATGGTGTGCGCTCACTGGAGAGACAGAGAAAGTGAGAAATCACCCCCATCCCCCGGGGGGGCCACAGAGATTTCTATGAGTTCTTGGCAGGGAGCCATCAGACCAGAGGCTCTGCCTTGCTGAGCGGAGCTCCAGCTCTCCAGCCAGGGCGGCAGCCAGAGGTGCAGCCTGCGAAGCGCTCTGCGATTTCTGTCTCCACTTGGGAGAGAAAGGTGCCCATCAACAGGCACCTCACAGGACTCAGAAGGGGCTCTTGACTGTCTCTCACCACTGAGAGACTCAGGCATCCCAAGAACGCTCTCCTTTGGCCCCCACGTGTGACTCCCTCTGCCCAGCATGGATGACCTCAGCAGGACCCGCACCCAAAGGTGCACAGCTCTCACCAGCACTGGTGCTCTCTGGGCCGGCACTGACCAGGAGACAGGCCATTTGCCTTTTGAAAAACTCAGAAGGATTGAAAAACAAAGAACAAAAAAATCTTGCATTAAAGTAGGAAACCAGCCCCATCTTGGCACAGTTCTCATGCAGAATATTGCACCCAGTGTTAGCTGACGTAGAAGCTTCAAACTGTGTAAATTTAAATGCATTGGCATATTATAAAAATAAAGGTAAACATGTACGTATTTTACACCAGCCATGGAACGGCAATGAACGTCAGTGGCTCCCTCTTCACATCTCACAGAACTGGAATCGGAGCGTCCCGAAAACCGCCACCTGCACTGTAACTATGGCTTCTATGTGCACAGAACACATCCCTGAGAAGCTGTTCGACTTTTTTCTTTTCTTCAAGTAGTGCTCTCCTTGGAGGGCCACAGTTTTGAGGTTCAGGCTGCAAAGCATTTGCACCCCACTCTCTCCCACCCCCACGTTGACAGTCCCCTGAAAGCACCCTGAATGCTCCAGTCAGGGCCACAGACGTGCTGGGTGTGCGGAGGGTCGCCGGCCTAGACAGTCCAGGTGAGTTCTGATGCTCTTTCTCCACAGAAACTCCACAGCCACAATTCACTGGTTTCTGTGCTTTTCGCCAACGTTCTTCCTAGATGGTGATGAGAGGGAGGCACAGAAATGACCAAGGGTAACAGAACAACACTCTCAACCACAGGAAAGGGCAGATACCCTGCCTTCTGTGTGGACCTTAGTTTCTAGTTCTAGAACTCCAGGTGCATGTCAGACAACTAACGCTCCCCATAGGACAGTCTCTTCAGCATAGGCAGCGGTTCTATCAGCGACATTACACTCAGCCAGGCAGGATGGGGCTACACTAAGTGGTTCTGACCACTTATTCCACTGTAATTTCTTAAATTAACTAGATTTCTAATAAACAACCACAGACTAAACAGAATGTCTTCCTCTCAATAAATGCACAGTCTCATACAGACACACAGTCAACAGCACTGCAGGGATAGGAATACATACTAAAAAATGAGAATGTATGTCTATCTTGACTAAAAGCATGATTTTACTTAAAGTATTAATAAACAAGTCTGTGGACTAAAACTTGGATTTTAAAGAAAACTGAATAAAGAAACTGCTACATCTTCGGCTAATTAAAAAGAGTGGCATTTGGGACCAGCAAATGGCATAATGGTTACATCGCTGGACTCCCACATAGCTGACCATGGTTGGAGTCCTGTACCCAGTGACTTAAAACCCAAGCTGGGTGCATGTAGAAAAGGGATTGCAGTGTGGCCATCCCTCTGGGGGGTGGTTTCTTGCTTTCTGTCTCTGTCTCCCCAGCTAATGCACATGACCTAAGCAAAAATATCTCTCTTAAAAAAAAAAAAAGTGACATTCAATTCAGACAAAATGCTTAGAAGAAACAAAGCCAGATGTCCTGACCCTATTCTAGCTTTCCTGCAGTGGCATGTTGTTCTTGAAGGTATCTTAGCACCCTTAAATAAAATGTACAAGACAGTAAAAGGAATAGAAAGTGGGTTGTGATTTGTCTCCCAAACCCATCTCCCATAAAGCTGCTTGATTTCATGGACAGATCATTTAGTCTCCACCTAAGACAGCTCTCCAGGGCACAGGAGCCGCAGCTGTGGGCTTGTCTGAACACAGAACTCACTGCCTGGAGTCGTTCTGTTTACTAACCACACAGCAGACATGCCACTTGCTACATTTGACGAACCCTCAACTTGTAAGGGTCCCTGTTACTCTGCATTTTACTGAGAAGGAAACTGAGGTCCAGAAAGGTTAAATGGTTTCCCAGGCGTTGAGGACAGTGAGGGGGACTACCTAACTAGGCTGATCTGACGCCAGGGCGGGCACACAGCAGCGAGGGCTGGGGTGACCTGTGCAGCACATTTCTCGGCGCTCAGCCGGGACTGTCCGAAGGCTGGCTAGTACAGCAGGCCCCGGTCCGAGGAAATCTGAAAACCCTCAGCGCCAACAGGTGCTGCAGTAAGTCTACATACGAAGGATGGACGTGCAAAGGCACTGGTCTGAACTGGCAGTTAACTCTGGTGATTCGAGTTTCAGGCCCACGTGGGAGATGGTTACCTCGTTATTTTCCCCTTACTGAATCTCGTGATGGTCACACACTTTACATGGCAACAACGTCTTTTAATTATTAGGTCGAGAAATGATGACGTATTTTTCTATGCAAAAATATGTCATGACTTTCCTGACAACCCGATATAACTGGACACTCACAAGTCTGATTATTTTATGATTCCCATTGTGCCCAGGGAAGCAGCTACACAGGAGGATAGGTCTCACTGGAGGTGCTTCTGTACCCTCCGCCCCAGGAGTGCCTTCTCAAGCAGACCTCAAAGGACCTGCTCAATGAAAGGGCAGTCAAGGTGCCACGGGATTATGGCGGCAAGGTGCACAGAGGTACCAAGAGGCAAGGAGAATGCACTACAGCCAGAGGGCTGGTGGTGGCTTTCCAGAAGGGCTGACACACAGTCTTGGCCTCGGGGGCAATGGGCCTCATCAGGCAGCAAGGAGGCAGGGAGAGGTGAGGACAGCAAGCCGGCAGCTGGCTGGGCACACTGTGTGGCCTCCCACAGGCAGGGCGTCCAGGCAGGCAGATGCGAGTCTTACCGAGAAGGGCCTGCCCAGGAAGCCACTCGAGGCTTCACAATAGAATGGGACAGGTCTGATGGCGAGAAAACGCAAGAGGGTAGGAAGGCGGCTGAGCCCATCACAGGGGTCTTGGCAGAAACGGGCTGGGCAGAAGAAGGCACAGAGTGGACGGGAAGCTCCATGGCCAAGCCCACTCATGTCAGCACACAGCAGGTGTTGGTAAAGATGGCGACTGGGAAAGAGAGGAGGGGAGGGGGTCGTGCTGGACTGCGGGCTGGCGTAGAGGGTGCAAAGCAAGGCCGTTGATTAAGATGGACAACGCAGGCTGCAGAAAGGCTCGGGGGCAGAAGCAAACACATCTGCTGGTCTATGCTGGGAGTCCACGGAGTGCCCAGGGGAGCTGCCAGGTACAGGTCAACCTGGGCACTCAGACCAGGTCCTTCCAGGGCAGAGAACAAAGCTCAGGTGAAGCAGAAGCCACACCCAGGGCCTTGCTAACCAGTGTCAGGGTGGCCAGTCCCCAGAGAGCAACTCTCAATACGAATCCATGACCCAGTGCCCATGCCTGACCCCTCCTTCACCTGCCCACATGTTCCAGGTCACATCTGCCTGCCCTCACCACCCCAGAGCCCAGATAACCACTAACAGCCCTGGGCACCCCCATCCCTGAAACCAGGCTCCTGCTCACAGCACCGGCCCCAGCCCAGTGAGGCGCTCCTTCCTCTGGGAACTGTGAGTAATGGCAATGTCTTTACAGCAGGCATCTCCTGACCTGCTGGCCTTACCACACCTCACACATGTTCTATGGACACTCTTGTTTAAAACATGTAAAGTGAGAGATCCACACTGAGACAAGGGCGCTAAACCCAGAGCCACGATGTGGATGACGGGCAGAGCGGGCCCTTGGCGCTGTGTCAGTGTGGGGACGTGGCTAGTGAGAGGCGGCGCCTTGCCCATGTGACGCGGTGTTGGAACAGGAGCTAATGCATCAGAGGTCTCATTCTGAGAAGTGTGTCCAAGCACTTCAGGCGTTCGTGGCTACGGCAGGCAAGAGGTGGCATTAGCCGTCTCCTCTGAAGATAGGGCTGGGGTGCTGATGTGCTTGAGTACCTGCAGGGGGCCCCAGGTACAGACCTCCAGGTCTGCACCCCCAACTGCAGGGGGCCCCGGGTACAGACCTCCAGGCCCACACCCCCAACTGCAGGGAGCCCCGGGTACAGACCTCTAGGCCCGCACCCCCTCCCTACTGCAGGGAACCCCAGGTATAGACCTCCAGGCCCACACCCCCAACTGCAGGGGGCCCCAGGTACAGACCTCCAGGCCCACACCACCCCCATGACTGCAGGGAGCCCCGGGTACAGACCTCCAAGCCCGCGTCCCCCCCACAACTGCGGAGAAAGGAAGCCATGCTTTAACTCATCCCAGCTACATGTGGGTCCCTCCTAGGGCAGGCACCTTGATTAGCAAGCTAAACACTGCGAGGTAAGTCAGCAGGTGGATTTGACTCTACTGTCTATACATGCAGAGAAATCTGTTCTGCCCTTACCTTTCTGTGTCTGTGTGCACACCCCTACCATTCCTAATCGCAGAACCAGCAGCTCACTACCCAGCATCGTCTCCTCTAAGAATTACGCTAAACGCCTTGCCCTAAATGCTACTGACAACCCTGAGGGTTCAGTACTTCTACTGTCTGCATTTTATGGAGATGTATAATCACAGCACTAACTGGAAAGATTCAAATCCAGAAATTGGGATCCAGGGTTTAAACTGCCTTGAGAAAATGAGCACAGACAGCTTTCAAAGCTACGTGCTGTGTTAACCAACTTGAGCTTTTTCCAGTATTGTATTCCTGCATAAAGTCAAAGAACATTTTTTTAAATAATTTTTTTCTCTCCAGTCAGGCTCTAAGATGACTGATACATCAGTAAGTCATGGTAAATTAAGCAAAGGTGTGGAGCGGTTTGCTTATTCTTAACTCTCAAACACCACTTGATTATGGACAAGTAAATGACAAGTAATCTCCAGAAGATGGACACAGTCAGACCTGAAAGTATCAAGGGAAAGAAATGTCAACTGTCAACGCGACCCCACAGGCACCTGCTCTGCAGAACCTCTTCATCACAATCCCACCCTGTTTTCCCTAAACTCTCCAAGTCCTCAGGAGGGCCTTACCTACTCAGGAAACTCTCCGCTCCCAGAACTTGCCCTTAAAAACTGGTGCTCCTAGAGTCACAGACTGCACAGTAAACGATGGCATAAAGGAAAGAAGCACTACCTTTTCCACTTAATTTTCCAAGAAAGTATGGCGGTACCTGAGCAGAGAGGGGAGAAATTCTGGCTTCAATGTGGCTGATGGGAGACTAAGGACTTAAAGAAACACGATACCTCCTAGAGACTAATAGCAGCAATACAACAAGCTGTGCCACTCACTGCTCAGAGCAAACAACGCCGCATGGTCAACGCGACCCCATAGGCACCTGCGCACTCAGCCTTAGCTTCTGAAATACCAGCCTGTCTCCAGGCTCCATGTTCTAAAATTTTGTGGTCAGTGAAGATTTCCCTGTTGTGATAAGGCTGAATTCATTCCATTCCATTGCTTTATTTATTTATTTTTTTTATCAAGCCCACATTGACTAATGTGAGTACAGTTAGACATATCTAGCCTGAGTATCTGGCAAGGGAAAGGCCAAAATTTTCACCCTGTTTTCCATAAAAGACTATTTCAATGAGACTTTAGTACCCTTATATCATAACAATGTAATTTGGAACAGTGAACAACTGGGATTATGACTGAATGGGAGCACTGCAGAATACAGGCTACAAGCCAGGCTTTTAAAAGAACTGACGCAGCGACTCAGTCTTGACCTTTCTGGAAGAGAACACTTAGCCTAACAATTTTCAAAACAGTACAATTCAGCAAACTTTAGAACACAGGACCTGCCTAATTAGAATTAACTTCCTCCTTCAGTCTCTGAGAATCCCCTAGTCTCAAGATGATGGACGCAG